ATCAGGATGTTATGTTATGAACTATCAGGATGTTATGTTATGCACTATCAGGATGTTATGGAGTTTTAGGAGTTTGTTTTCTCCTGTGTGGTTCAGCGTGGCTCTGCATGCCCTGGTATGAACTAGGCCATGGAGGACACACACCTACACAAGGAGTTATATTACAACATCTCCAACATGGAATTAAATGAAAATAAAACGAAATATAAAACCAGACAAAATACAACTCAATACAACAATTAAATAAAGTAATAAAAATAAGAGAAAATAGCCAAAAAATAAAATAAAATAAATGAAATTAAAATAACATACAGTGCAATGCATGCCAGCAGCGGGACTGCATGGAGGGGGAGGGAGAGAGGGAGAGAGAGAGAGAGAGAGAATGAAGTGGGGGAGAGAGAATTTTTTCGCCAGGACCGTCGGCGCTGCAGGAGCATCCCTATTTACCAACCTCCGAGCGCCCCCTGGAGGGATAACGCAGTATCGCCGGGGAGCCTCCTGGTCCTGATGCTGGGCGGGGCGGGGCGGGGCTGCCGGGGGCGCGGACGCTCCGCTCTCCTCGTCCTCCTCCTCCTCTCCCCAAGAGCCCGGCCAGCGCCGCGACTGCAAGAGCCATGCTCCGCTGCCTGCTCCAGCGGGCCTGCAACCTGCCCGGCTCAGAGCGGGGCGACAAACGCAGCGACCCGGTGGCCAGCCTGACTTTCCGAGGTGAGTTTCTTGGCGGCCCGAGGGAGCTCCGTCCTTCTCTGGGGCGGACTCGGCTTTCTTGCGAAGGGCAGCAAGTAGCTACCTCCCCCCCCCGCCCCAATTCCCCTCTCTCCGGGTTTTACTGCGGTTCGTTCCGTCGGGCCCCTCTGGGATTGCTGGACTCCAAAGCCCATCATCCCGACCAGTGGCCCTGTCGGGCGGGGAGGGTGGGAGGAGAGGAGCCGCAGGCAACGAACGTTCACTTTAAGGGGTTCGGCTGAGTCTCCATTCAAAGGGGCAATAAAGTGAGTCTCGGGGGCAGCTGCGGAGGATTTCGGAATTGGCGGAGGGACCTGTCAATCATCAGTCAGTCCAAAACTTCGATTCGGCTCCGGCCTCTTTGCTGTCCCTGATCTTTTAATCTGTTTATAGTCGCCATGTGTGTTTGTAGGTTCTTCTAACTTTTGACTGGGAGCCGCTCAGAGTCGGTTGGAAGGTGGGGGGGGGGGGCTCTATAAACGTTTTAAATAAAATCGATCAATAGCAATAGCAGTAGCAGTTCGACTTATATACCGCTTCATAGGGCTTTCAGCCCTCTCTAAGCGGTTTACAGAGTCAGCATATCACTCCCAGACTGATACCCAGATATGAGATAGAGATAGAGATAGAGATAGATAGAGATAGAGATAGAGATAGAGATAGATAGAGATAGAGATAGAGATAGAGATAGAGATAGAGATAGAGATAGAGATAGAGATAGAGATAGATATATAGAAAGCAATAGCAATAGCAGTTAGACTTATATACCGCTTCATAGAGCTTTCAGCCCTCTCTAAGCGGTTTACAGAGTCAGCATATCACTCCCAGACTGATACCCAGATATGAGATAGAGATAGAGATAGAGATAGATAGAGATAGAGATAGAGATAGAGATAGAGATAGAGATAG